AGCGGACGTTCCAGCCTGCCATGTGGTATTTTTGTTAACTTTTTCTTACTTTTTTCTTGAGGTTTTTGGCCTGGCGGGACCGGTAGTCCTGTTTTCGATTTTTCTTTTGCTTAGGTTATTTTTTGCCTTTAGTCCGGTACCAGTAGGGGCTTCGACGGCCCTGTATAGGGTTGGCCCCCTGCTGTACCGTTTTATTCTGTTTGATCGGCCTGCCAGGTCCAACTTTCTGTTGTTACTTTGGTTTATTTTTTTATTTTTTTGGGGCACGGGATTTGAGGGCCGTTAACTATTTTTCTCTTCGCAGAACATCTGAAGAAGCCGAACCAAGAACAACTAAAACGGAGAGAATTTATTAATAAAATATCTTTTTTTGAACCCTCATTTTTGTCTCGTGTCCTCAAATATGTTGTGTCCTTGGTGGGCGTAACATATTTTTGGGGGCTTGTCAAAACAAAGTTTGCCTTTAGTGCCCTCCGATATGTTGTGTCCTTGGTGGACGTAACATATTTTTGGGGGCTTGTTTAAACAAAGTGTGCCTTTTAGAGACAGGTCGTGTCCTACGGTTGGTTCTTGTTTGTTGGCGGTTGTGCTGGGTTTGTGTGTGTTTTTGCGCAGCTGACGCGCGTTGCGCTGATTAATTAGAGCATTCGGTTCTGGTGGTGCTGTAGCTTTGTTTGTGCAGAGGTGTCCCTGATTTGGTGTGGCTTGATTCCAGGGGTAAACATGGAGTTTGACCTGGATGAGTTTGTTCGAGGGCCCACATTGGACACTTTGCAGAAATGCACAAAGGATCTGTTGCTGAACGTGCGCCCGCTCTGCATAACTCTATCAGTTGTGTTTCCAGTGAACGAGATGACGCAGGTGTCGGGGCAGCTGCAGATGCACGGGAAGCCGAGCATTTTGAGGTTATTGTGGATTGGACGATTTGGCTCTGGTGTTTTTTGTGGCTTTGTATGTGTGCTTGACAGTTTGTGTGGCTAGATTCCAGGGGTGGACATGGAGTCTGACCTGGATGAGTTTGCTCGAGAGCCTACATTGGATGGAGTGTTCCTGTTTAGTGTGGCTAGATTCCAGGGGTGGACATGGAGTCTGACCTGGATGAGTTTGCTCGAGAGCCTACATTGGATGGAGTGTTCCTGTTTAGTGTGGCTAGATTCCAGGGGTGGACATGGAGTCTGACCTGGATGAGTGCTCGAGGAGCCACATTAGATGTCTTTAGTGAGTGCACGAAGGATATTTTTCCTGCTGCAGTTTTAGCACAGAGTCTTGATGAATCGCCGAATAAAACCTCACTTGCAGCTGATCCGTGTCGTTTAGAGGAACTTCAGATCGAATTAGGACAGCTGGCTTTGATGGAAAAGGAGCTGTTTTTGGAAGAACGCAGACTGGAGTTGGTGGATCGGCTGTGTTTGCGCGCTCGGTGGCATTGAGAGCGCATTAGATCATGTCTTGGATGTGAAAGCTATGTGACGCGTTTTTATTGTAGGAAGAGGGGACAACGTAGTGGCTGACGCACTCTCCTGACTCTAGTCCCGCTTTCCTTTTAACGTGTTTTTATTATGTGAAGATAAGACAATGTAGTGGCCGACGCACACTCACGACTCTAGTCCCGCTTTCCTTTTAGCGTGTTTTTATTGTAAGAGGAGCAGACAATGTCATGGCCGACGCACTCTCATGACTCTAGTTCCGCTTTCCTTTTTTTTCTCTGAATGGGTTGAGCTTTGCTTCGGACCCCATTCAGAGTCTTTGGGTGGGGGTGTTATGTGCCCCAGGCACATTATGATTTTTGTCCATTTCTTTTCTTCGTTTGCTTATAAACTTTAGTTGAAGGATCCTTTTGTTAATATATTTTAGGATTCTTTTAGTAAATCAATTATGTTAATTTGTGGTGCTGTCGTCCGCCTATAAATAGGCTGACCTTCAGCACGTTAGGGCGTTCCTTTCGCGTTCCTTTCCAACCTCGTTTGGACGCCACTTCCCACCTGCTTCATTTGCTCCATCGTGCGCGGTGCGCACTTGTCTTGTCGCTGCGGCCTGCAGCGGACGTTCCAGCCTGCCATGTGGTATTTTTGTTAACTTTTTCTTACTTTTTTCTTGAGGTTTTTGGCCTGGCGGGACCGGTAGTCCTGTTTTCGATTTTTCTTTCGCTTAGGTTATTTTTTGCCTTTAGTCCGGTACCAGTAGGGGCTTCGACGGCCCTGTATAGGGTTGGCCCCCTGCTGTACCGTTTTATTCTGTTTGATCGGCCTGCCAGGTCCAACTTTCTGTTGTTACTTTGGGTTTCTTTTTTTATTTTTTTGGGGCACGGGATTTGAGGGCCCGTTTACTATTTTTCTCTTCGCAGAACATCTGAAGAAGCCGAACCAAGAACAACTAAAACGGAGAGAATTTATTAATAAAATATCTTTTTTTGAACCCTCATTTTTGTCTCGTGTCCTCAAATATGTTGTGTCCTTGGTGGGCGTAACAGTTATTTAGGGCTTTATATGTGAGAAGGAAGATTTTAAATTCTATCCGGGATTTTACGGAAACCTGAGATAGGAAATACAATCACTCTGGGAGCCATATTCTGAACTGTGGCTTGCTTTTTCATTTTGTTCAACAAAGCTATAAATGCCAGAAGTACATCAGAAGTGAAATTTTAAAAAGCACACCTCTACCAAAGATCCTAGTATTAATTTCATTAAGGTTTGAGTTAAGGTTAGCTGCAAAAAAAAAAAAAAATTATATATATATATATATATATATATATATATATATATATATAATAAATCTTTATTAAACCATCAAGTCAAATATATATATATATAATTATATATATTTATATATATATATATTTATATAATAAATCTTTATTAAACCATCAAGTCAAATTAAACTTGGAGATACCAGAAATTTTGGAAAGAAGGTTAGAAAAGATTCTGATATAAGCCTAATATAATAATAATTGAATTCTTGGAAAAGCCCACTGGCCCTTTCCAAATCAGAAGCTATAACTGAAGGCCAGCTTCAGCTTTGTGCTGTGCTTGTGATGTGTTCTTTATCACTGGTGTAATAACTTTATGGTCTGTACATGGGTTTAAAAGAGGGATGCTTATTACAATTTAAATCATTAGTACAATTCAAGTATCCTAACCTTCAATTGGGACTCTAAATACTATAAATTAGTTGTCATTTTTTTCCCCTCTTGGTGAATATATTAAATAGTCCTGTGTTGTAGGTTCGTGAGAAGGGATTGCTTTACTTTTACAGCACTGCCATCTAGTGGTCATAATGTAACTAACTTTTTTTATTTTTAATGAACAAAATATTGTGTTCTTGCTTGGTAAAATGTGTAAAGGAGATTGATTTCTCGTAAACATACGTTTATTACAGTACTTATAAGCCAACAGTGTTTGCATAAATTCAAATGTCATCACTGTGTTTCTAGTTTCCATAAGCAGATCTCAAAAGCTTATTGTAAAATAAAATGATTTTAAATTATTTAAATCCAGATAGGCTTCTACTTACTTACATGGATACTTCTTCTATATCTCTTGCTGCTTTTTGAATGCCCACTCTAAACAGGATTTTTGTTGTTGTTTTTTCCAAAATATACAAAAAGACATTTTTGGTTTGTCAGGATTAATGAAATGTTTTGTGTTTTGCAAATGCCAGAATGAACATAAAGAAAAATTTTGGACACCTTTTTTTTATGCAAATCCCTCTTGAATGAATCTTGCATAAATGGATGGGTAGATGAGGTGTTATGATGGTTAAAGGCCTTGCAGAGTTGAAGTCTCTGAATGTGCAAAAGAAGTACGCCCCTCTGAACCTAAAACAGACTGTTGCTTCTAAACATCTGTGTACCTTTTAACTTTAGCAGTTGTGTTCTGTGCAGAAACATTCTTAGACAGAAATGACTGTGGCCAATTGTTGGCTTTAGACTGTCACTGCCTGAATACGAAAGTCATCGTCCATCTGCAGCAAAAGCATCGACTTGCAGACATTCTAGGAGTCCTTCCCCTATCTACTCTAATATTGTTTTGTTTGAAATTTTGAAATGTTCTGTGTTTTGCAAATGCCCAAAATGGACATAAAGAACATTTTTGGAGACTTTCTTGAAATTCTGAAATTTACACAAAATTTTGTAGAACTACTTTCTACAAAAATGAAAGATACTTTTTCCTCAGTCAGTTAGTAAAGTTTGATTTAGTTTAACCTTTTCCATTATGCATTTGAAAAATTACTTCTTCTCTTCATGTCCTTTTACCCTGTCGTTTGTTTGTTTGTCTCTTGGGTTCACACACATTATGCACAGTAGAAGTACATTTTTGGAGACATGGGAACATTTGAAATCCTCATCTTCAAGGAAAGTATCAGAATCAGAGGGAAATTATTTTTGTTACGTGCTCCAGGTATACAAACATTTATATATAACTCTGTATATATATATATATATATATATATATATATATATGTATATGCATATGTATAACTATAACTATAAATCCAAATAAAGTGATAATGCTATAGAAATTAAATATCCTACTTTATTAGGAGTAAACCTAAATTCAGATTTATAAACTATACTGGTAAACCACCTTTGATATCATTTTTTACCATTTTACTGCTCATTAATATACTCCTCAGGTAAATAACCTGTAGAATAGGAAATTTAAGAAAAAAAAGCTTGGTCTATCTTTTCCTTTCTTTTTTTTCTGAGCTGGTTTTCATACATTGAAAATGAAAAGAAAAAGACTGGAAAAGGTAAAAATGTCTGTGATTGGAAAAAAAGATAAGTAACTTTCATTTCAGAATTACCTGTTCTTGCGGATTTTGTTTTTTATTTTGATAGTTAGCTTGTGATAAGTGAGTCTAAATACCACAACAAGCATGGACCATCGGGTTCCCCCCCTTCATATAGGTTCATCATTACTATAGGAAATTCTAAATTATTACTATATTGCTTTGTGTCCTTATTTTTCCTTTAAGGAGAAAATTGAAAACAACTTCTCATGTCCTTGGTTGACTTTTTATTGTATTTATTCACATTTCAAAATGATCTATAAGCAGAGAAGACTACAAGTTAGTAAAAAGGATTTGTATTTTTTCTGTTTTGTTTTTTCCCAAATATTAATAATTGTGTCTTCATACAAACATACAGGTAATTCTACAGTTTCAAAGTACAAAAAAATTCATACATTACCAGCCATTTAATGTAAAAAAAGACCCAGTGTTATCTTTGGAGCATGACATCATTGTGCACTTTTAACTTGTTTTGGCATTGGATCATGAAGGTGTGCAGATATGAGGGGATGTAGAGGGGTTCACAAAGGGGTTATATATATATGCCTCCGCTAAGGGAGAAGTACTTGTCCAATTATAATCTTGACAAAAAACACTTTGAATGCTACATAAATGGCACAAATTTATGCAGCATGAAGACTGGGAATTGATGCTCAAATCACTACAACTGCTTTACAGGCACATTATTTTATGAGTATGTGGAGTTTGTGGATATGGAACATGAAACACACAGAACATAACATATTAATGTCTTGAAAAAAAGAAAAGAGAAATATGATGTTTACAGATGTCTCAGAAAAATACATCCACTTTCTACAATCAAGAATGCACATTTACAGATAAAGCAAACAGTTGTACAGCATGGAGAAAAAAAACCCATATGAATTAAACAATTTTGCTAGATTGAGGGTGAACATTTGTTTTCACTTTAAATTAAAACCCTTGTTATTGATAAAGGTAAATGTACCACTTAACTCAAAAAGATTTACTTGCAAGGATTGTATTAGATTTAATAGTTTTGTTAGAATCTTTCTTAACCCTATAAATCATATTTCTTCCAACAATTCTAATATCCGAAATCAGTTGCTTTAATGGTGATGTATTTAATCTAAATTGTTTTTGGCATGTTGAACAGATGCTCTGAAACCTATGCATTTTATAGTGTGTCTTTTTTACTGTCCTGATAAATAACAATGCGTATGTGAGATTAAGATAAAATGTGATTTCCCAGGTCAAGGATGCCTGTTTTCATTGATGAGCATGGTTTCTTTTATTGTCTCATCCACAACAATAGTTTGTGCTGATGCTGCATGATCTTTATCGCCTGTACGCCTATTTGTACAGCACGCAAAAAGAGGAGTTAGCCTAAGGTCACTACGGCAGTCCCCTCTCTGATTGGTTCAAATGAGCCCTGCTCTCTCTTCCACAGAGGGCTGATTACACAGTACACTGTTTCATTAAAAGCTACATATCTAAAATAAAAATATGCAAATCACAATGAAAAAGACATTCAACATCTGTTCTTTTTTTTTTTTTTATAATTTTTATTCTTAAAGACTATGCTTCGGCTTTACCGTCTAGCACATAAACACAAAAAGGAGAGAAATGCTCAGTAACTGATGCATATCCCTCTTCTCTTGAAAGAATCTTGCATAAATGGATGAGTAGATGAGGTGTTATGAGGGTTAAAGGCCTTGCAGAGTTGAAGTCTCTGAATGTGCAAAAGAAGTACGCCCCTCTGAACCTAAAACAGACTGTTGCTTCTAAACATCTGTGTACCTGTTAACTTTGCCAGCAGTTGTGTTCTGTGCAGAAACATTCTTAGACAGAAATGTCTGTGGCCACTAGTTAGCTTTTCACTGTCACTGCCTGAATACGAAAGTCATCGTCCATCTGCAGCAAAAGCATCGACTTGCAGACATTCTAGGAGTCCTTCCCCTATCTACTCTACTCTTGTATACAAGTGCCTATTTCTCCATTATACATAGCTATAACTCTTTCAATAGAAAAGATGTCTAAAAACTGAAAATAAGATTTTCATTAAGTAAAAACATCTCCTGTTTTTAAAATAAGTACACACTAAGTAAAAAAGTCCCCTCTTTAAGCCCTAATTTTATATTCCATTTTACCTCAAACACTCTAAACCGTTTTAATTGCTTTGTTTGTTTTTATTTATTTTATTTTTTTTTGCTTTCTGCAGAAGCTTTTTTCTCTATCCCTGTCCATATTCTTTTTCATCAACTTTTTCATCTACCTGCACTGCTTTGAATTCATTGCATATGTTCTCTCTGATGTTGAATTTGTAAAAGCATGACTCTGCTTTCTCTTACAGGTTCATATGGTGAGATCATCTGACCTGGCCCTGCTGCTTGCTTTGCTCAGTCGACTCAGAGGTCTGGTGTCTTCTATCGTATCCGTCGCCTCCACCTCTGGCTCGGCAGGGGTTACCACCTCTGTGTTCACAGCTTCCTCTATCTCCACATCCTCATCTAGACCTTCCTCTATTCTCTCTGCTTCCACCTCTTGTGGCGGCACCTCCTCAGCTTGCTCTTCTTGTAACGTCAACGTCACTCCCCCTGTCTCAGTTGTTTGGCTGTAGGAAGGCAGAGTCTCATCATACACCTTAGAGATGTCCTCCATGGGCAGCACTTCCTCCACCTTCACTTCCTGGAAGGGTGGGGTCCCTCTGCCAGCCTCCATCCCAACTTCAGCAAGAGGGTAGAGATGAGAGCAAGGTGGAACTTTTTCCTCCTCTAGCAATTTGTAACCTTTTGCTCTCTGCAAAGAGGAAACAGCCAGCGGGGGCAGACCTTTTCCTTGTGGCGGCATCGGGGTGGTACTGTCACCTTGGGCTGGGGCTGGAGCTGGCTTACGAAAGACAAAGCGAATTTTCTTCAGACCCAAGTGACTAATTTCCACAAAGTTGAGAAATAGCGAGACACAGGCCACAGCCAACATAAAGATGATGAAGACAGTCTTCTCTGTTGGGCGAGACACAAAGCAGTCCACTGTGTTTGGGCAGGGCCAGCGGCTGCACTTGTACAATGGTAGGATGCGAAAGCCATAAAGAAAGTACTGGCCTACCACAAAACCCACTTCAAATAGTGTCTTGAAGATTATGTGGCATATGTAGGTTCTCAGCAGGGTGCCTTCAAGGCGAAACTTCTTGCTTCCTTTGGTGCTGGTCTCTTTGGTTGTTCGGACACTTCCCTGGTCAGGTGCCAGAGGTAGACGCTCCTCGCTTAGTTCCTGTTGCCGACTAAGCTCTGCCTCCTCTCGTTCCTTACGTTTCTCCTCCATGTGGACGTGGTGCACAGCATGGCCAACATACACCAGAGACGGCGTGGACACAAAAATAATCTGCAGAACCCACAGGCGGATGTGGGAGATTGGGAAGGCCTCATCGTAGCACACATTCTCGCATCCAGGCTGCTGTGTGTTGCAAACATAGTCGGACTGCTCGTCACCCCACACGAATTCTGCTGCCGTGCCCAAGATGAGGATACGGAAGATGAAGAGCACCGTGAGCCACACCCGGCCGATCACCGTAGAGTGCTCGTTGACTTCCTCTAAAATATTACCCAGAAAACTCCAGTCACCCATGATCGGTCCGTAGCACTGCAAAATGAAGGGTGGGGTAGGGAGGGACACTGAGGGTGCAGTCGCATAGGGAGGGTGGGGTAGGGAGGACCCACAGTGGGAGTGGGAAAGAGAGGGCCAAAAGTAATCAATGCTTTAGAAGAAAATTCAGACTTTGAAATTCTTGAACATCAAACCTGAGCTGCTAACTTAAAGGACATGCATTTCAGTTAAAAACTTCAAATACTGAAAAATGACAAGTTTAAACTTTTTCTCGAGAACTTGCAGTTTCTATTCCAAATAAGGATTCGAAAATATCAAGAAATTATCTGAAGCAATTTAAAGATTAATCATTGCTGATCTGCTTAATCTCTCTGTATGCAATTAAAACTCTTTGAAGAAACGAATAAGCATTGCTGTCTATAGATCTGAAAAATTACAATTCACTCTTCCAGTAAAAACAGTCTAGGATCGACAGATTAGTAAGTATCATAAAGACCCCTCCTGTCTAATGTATCATAAAGGATAAAATGCAATAAAATGGGCAACTTGCCACAGTTGCGGCTCCCGCAAAGTTGAGTCCTGTCCCGTTCTCTTGGCACCCGGCAGGGGAAAGTGAACTTTTTTCTGCCCTCTTTCCCACCTAAAGCCCTGTCCTTGTCGCCCCACTGAGCAGATGTGAATGAATCGAGTCTGATGGTTGGTTTTTAGTTTGCTGCAATATTTAAGCTTGGAGCCAGACGGCCTTTATTTGCTGGGCGACGTGTGGGTGACGCAAAAGACAATAGGATCAACAAAGCCAGGGCAGGGATGTATGGAAGCAGGCCTCAAGCTCCTGCACCAACACGGACACTGTCGGGGGATTGAGTCCACAGCAGCGCAGTCAAACTCCTACTTTCTTACCCATCCATGTTCCATCTATGGAAATATGGGCGAGGTGGATGCAGTTTGAACCGCTGCCTCCAGCTGATGCCATTAGAGGCAGGTCAGTAATAAACCATAAGACCAGGCAAGGATAAAGGAGAACCTTGTGGATTAGTAAAAAAACACAGTGATTCTTTGGGGACAGAATATGTGTGGATTAATTGCAATGTGTCTGAGTCTCAAAACACAACAATATCTAACTTTTGTTTTAGGATTTTTTTTTATCTGATTTTATTTGCCTGTTTTGTTTTTTTCCCTCTTTTTGTAATTAATGGCCATTGGGCAGCATGTCAGGTATGGATCTTGGGTTTATCTCTTTGTTCCTTGTAACACACAAACTTATTGTGAATCACAACAAATGTTTCAAAAAAAATGGAATAAGCTTTAAGACTTTTTTTTTAACTTCCGTTTTTTATAGATTTAGAATATTCTGAATACATGAAAATAGTGTAACACCAACCATCTCTTCTAATCAAATTAAAGCAGAATTATCGGGATTTGCCATTAAACATAAAAGAGTAAGGAGAACATTTTGTATATGGCTGTTTTAATTTTGTTCATAGTCTAACATTTGTCACCCTAACCTATATTATTTATTCATTACCCACAGTTGAATTACTAATATGTTTCACTTTAATATTAGCTGGATGTATTTTACAGTGTACGTTTATTCGCATTTGTTTGTCTGTGTTATGTAGTAGAGCATAAAATAACATGAATCAATTCACCAGACTGAAATATTTCCTTGACGAAATGAAAAACACTTTCCTGCCTCAAACTGAAAAAGAGTTTGCAGGAATGATGGTTCACAGAACTCTTTGGATTCCTGAACAGTGAAAAAAAAAAAACTAAAACGCGATGTAAAATGTTTGAAGTAAGTGACCAAATGTATTATTTATTCAGCAGAAAATAAAGAATATTACAATGACTAAACTTATTTTATCTATGGCTGTTAAAATTACATAATTACATAAAAGCAGCCCTGTTTACTCCTGATCATGCATATCTATCAAAATTAAGCACTATGTTTCCTGCCAACGTCTGAGTGCCAAAGACCCAGTAATTGTATCAATACGTTTCTCCTAATTGTCTTCTCTCTTTGTGTGAGTTTTTCAGATTTAAATGGCTTTAAACATAAAGCTTTGACTGGATCTTCTCTATATCTTACATCTACTGTTAAGAAATATTTCAAATGTTCCATATCCTGCTTTCTAAGACCTTGTAAGATTTCATTTGTAATGAAATATTATTTTTAGTCTGGTGCTATTTTCTCCAACCTCAGGTCGCTTCCTTTGTGGCTGCCACCCATTTCGTGACATCCGTGTATCAGGCCACTTATGGCGATAAGGTACCTCTTTAAAAAGGATGAAAAAAGTTTGAAATTAGACTTAGACAAGTTTATTAATCCCCCCAAGGGGTATTTGTTTGAGCAGTACAGGAGACAATAAATAAATAAATAAATAATAAACATGCCATAATGTAAAAATAAGATTAAATTAAAATTATTAAAAAGAAAACTGTGACAGAGAGCTTGAGAACTAAAATTAATAATAATAAAAACAGAAAGATAGTAAAAATATAACAGTTATTTTCTTTAGCATACAACAGCCATCCTATACAGAGTTTAAAAGTCGAATAGCTGTTGGTATAAAATAATTTGCATGGTGGTTTGTAATACAGGGAAGCATCGCAAAGACAACAAAGAGAATACATTTTTAAGAACATGTTCTGGCGAAGAGAAGATCACTTTGGTTTTATTGTAATTGTTGTTCAATAAAAGAGGAAGACAAGTCCCTCCCGTTCACTCCTATGATTTTGGAATAGATTTTAACGACATGATTTAATGACAATATTTGTGACATAGATCTTTGCTAAAAAAAAAAGATGCTAAAAGAGCCTCATCTCAACTTTGAGTGGGAATGATGCCTTTCTATCACTACTGGCTTATTAGAGGGGTGGATGGTTTTTTTTTCTTGGGGCAATCAGGCCTAACCCTAGCATTGTAACACAGTTAAAAGCTCATAAAAATGATTTTGACAGCTATGTGCCCTTTAAATTAAACCTAGCAGTCAACCTATCAGTGAATTGATTCCAATTCTCTGGATTTTATGTATGGTTCTTATTATGTTCTGTTTTTGAAACTGCTAGGCATCGTTAAGTTCACTTGCAATGCAGTATGTTACTTCAAGGTATAGAGGATTTTCACAAATCCTCACCCTCAACCCACCCTCTCCACTTAATACACATGCAAAACCCTGTACCCTCTCCCAAGAAGGAAGGCCTATTAAACACGTGCGAGAGCATGCGTGAGCCTATTTCTCCTCGTGCACGCTCTGTTTAAAAGTTGCTGTTTGCATTGTTCTTAGAAGCTTACTTTCCATATTAAGATTTGCAATTTTTTCAGTGTCAGACTCAACGCTTTAAACATATCACCAGAATGACAATTAGGATATTTTGATGATCCCCCAGAAAAAGGACGACCTCCACTATACCTTTAACATCACATTCAGGTGATGTGATGTTTTAGTGTCCATAGGGTTGTTGGGTCCAACAAAAGGAGGAAAACAGACTGAATTACACAGACGGCACATAACAGACTGTTAAAAACTCTGAATCCCAGAATCTTCAGTATTATCCTGTTTACATGACCTCTACCAGACAGCCGGAGTCACAGTGGCAATCTGAGTGATGCCATGGAGGATTATACACATATAAAGAACAGAGTTCTTCCCCTTTATGTGCAGCATCCTGCATCACAAACGACATACGCATGAACATTTTGATCTCACCAAAAGACTGCAGGTTTGAAAAGACATTGGATCCAAAATGAGTACAATCTGCTGTTTGTTGCCCAATAATAGTATCTCAAATAAATACAGGAAAAACTGCCTTTAAGAATAGCTGCCTGTAACAGCCTGTGACAAACAAAAAAAAATAACAGACAGAATTATATTCACCAAGAAGAGACGGTATCCCACTGAGAGGATGCAACTCAAGGGCCTTCTGTTCATCTGAGCTTCCATACGATTAAATTATTTCCGTATAAAACAATTAAAATCGTGTTTGCATTACTTAACTTCTCCAGTGCGGAGAGGCCTCTGCACCTGATGCTATAAACCCGGGTTCAAATCCGACCTGTGGTCCTTTGCCACATGTCTCTCCCCCTCTCTCATACCCCCTTTCCTTTCAGCCTACTGTCGAAAAAACGAGCCACTAGTGCCGCAAAAACTCAAAAGAAAAAAAAAAGAAGTATAAATCCTACTGTTTAAAAACACTTTTTTAGAAGTCAGATTATCAACTTAAGGTCTTTACCCAAGTAAAAGGATAAAGTAAAATATAAAGTAAAATATTTTAAACACGGATGGTTTACTGCTAAACCCCATTAAAGGGACATTTTTCTACTATTCTGATGATAACTTCCTTATACTTAATTTTCTTAGTTATTTAATAAACTAAAGGTTACAGTGTCAAATTTAACTTTCCGTCCTCTTGAAATACTATTTATTTTGGTATGTGGCAAAAAGTAAAGTAGAAAGTAGAGATAATTGCAAGAAAATGTGAGGACTAGAAATAAAAAGTTGTCTGAAAAATTGTTACTCCAGTAAAGAATAGAGCCAAAATTTCTACTTAAGTAACGTAATGAAGTATTTCTACTTTGCTGTTTGACATCTCTATGTATTTGGATGTTATTTTTGTTTTTTTTGGTGCAAGTAGGACTGGCAAGTGTTTACATTTTTATAGAAAAAAAAAACTATAGGTTGCCTATCTGCAGCTCCCTCTTGAATCAGAAGAAGCTTAACCTGCCTCTTCAGCTCATGCATATTTGAAATGGTAATTCCCTCCACCAAGAAGGGACTGCAGCACGAGGACGAAACCATCTGTGAGTGTTTTAGGACGGTGGTTAGTGGATCAACGCCACCACCTGCTCCACAATGTGAGAAATAAGAGAGATCTATGCATCACGTGAGAACAAAAAGAAAAAAAGCCCAAAAGACACAACAATACAAATTTATCTATTGGATATTTTTAAATGAGTTGTCAGAGGCGTCTGAAATGTATCAGGTTCAATACCAAATAATAATGAGACATTGCTAATGTCTCCGTCTTCATTCAAAACTATGTGCCTTTGAATTGTTTATTTTAACCTGCTGGCCAATTGAGTCTGTCTTTTGCTCAATGTCCAAGAGCATGCTTGCACACAGGTTTTAATGAATGACATCACAATCTTATCTTCACAATTTAAAATCTAAAAGAACAAAACAACTAGATCCCCTCAGTAAAGCAATGAGATTGTTTATTGTGTAAGACTTTCACACGTTGTATGTATTCTAAAGGTTCATTCAGACAAAGTTAGTGTTTATCTGTTATATAAACCGGTAAAAATCTGCACTCAAGCCAAATCTCTGGTGGATTAAATTAAAGGAATCGAGAGAACAATTGTTTGGCAGGAACATTTAGAGTTTATTTATATTTCAACAATTCATTTCCTAGAGTTCAGTAAAACTGCAAGGTTTCACAACAGTTTCATCCTCCTGATACCGAAGCAAAGAACATTCAACAATAGAGTTTTCTTACATCTAAAAGCATAATTACTAGATCTTTATCTGTTTTTTTCCTATTGTAAGATTCTCAATATATGGTTTAAAAATGTCCCATAGCAACAACGTTTAGGGAATTTCAATGTATGCATTTCTCGCATTAAAAAGACAGCATGCTTTAAAATCAAATTTCAAAGCTGTGTAAGTGATGATCATTTGCTTTGATCATCCTTAATTAACCTTTTATTAGAATTGCACCAGCACTG